TCAGTATGAACTCAATATTTATTTTATTCTATGGGTTAAAATCCAATACTATCATTATATATGTTGCTACTCAAAAACGTAGGCCATATTTTTTTTTAAGTGGGAAAATACTCTTCTATAAGTGCAGAGGCACTTAATAAGCTTAAAGAAAATTCCGCTAAATGGAAAATATTAAAATTATGATTACATATCTCTTTATATTGAAATATATAAATATTTGGGCTGAAATATTTCCAAAAGTACTGACTTTTAGCCTCCATTTAGATTCTTTTCTTTATTTTTGCAAAATAAGCTCACCAAAAAGGTGTTTCTATTTATGATTTTTGAATATTTTTCCAAATATTGATCTTGTAAAATCTGGTGCAGGATATAACTTTATCCTATTTAATAGGAATTCCATCAACACTTCTTTCCATAAGTCAGGTTTTCTAAAATAGAATTATAGAGTTTTAAAATGAAATCTTTTACATAATAGAAACTCTCATTTTTAAAGCTAATTCCTTGTTTCAGTAGGGATAAATTTCAATGTCTTCCCATTTGCAATTTTGTGCTTAATAATTATAATTTTACAGATTAAAAAGCTGATGTTACTTCCCCCCCTTTCTTTGTTGAATATTTTAACTAAAGACTCCTAACTAATTTTGAACAGAATGTCTATTTCTAAAAGTTGATCAGTGACACTAGAAGCAAATAAAGTGTTAGTCATGCATAAGATTGTTTTTTAAAGACATCAACTTTATCCTCCAAATATTACATGTATGTAGCTTACTCTAACTTTGTATATTTAAACTACTTGTGAATTTTGACTACAGTCACCATGTCAATTTACAGAATATCACAGCTTTTGTACATAATCACCATGATCAATCTCAAGTAAATTTCTGCTCCATATTTTTCTTACTTTGGTAAAAACATTATTTTACTGAGTTGCTGTGCTACTTGCAAATATGTATTCATATTATCACTTGCATTCACTAGTTTACTTTTAAAAATAACACTAACATTTACAATAAGTTCAGAAAATTCCCCTTTGACACAATAAACTTCCAAAAGCTTTTCTTTGGTTCTGTGAATTGGTTAAACATTTTAAAATCATTATTGGAATTTATTAATTTTTTTTTATTTAACTCATCTGCTCACAGTGTTATAAAAGTGTCATAATTCAACGGTTTGTAAACTCTTTTGCTATTGGTGTCAACTCATTAATAGCCATTGCTTTACATTCTCACAGGCCCAAGGAAACTCAGAACTAAAACTGAGAGAAATTAACTTAGGAGAACTGTTCTTTGACCTAATGAAGCCCTGCTGCATGAAGTGCTATGGAAACACATCTTCCACAGCCGCAAGTGCTAAACCATACGCACCTGGGCTCAAAAGTGTAGGTAAGATTTCAACAAGTGGGAAGGAGGTCAAGAAGAAGTTTCCAAGTGAAGTAGCGGCATGAACAGAAGCACGGTCAGGAAATGCCAAATGCCAAGGTGTTAAAATAATGGGCACAAGGGTGCCTGGGTGGTTCAGTTGGTTAAATGTCTGACTTCAGCTGAGGTCATGATCTCGCTGTTTGTGAGTTCGAGCCCCACGTCTGTACTGACAGCTCAGAGCCTGGAGCCTGCTTCAGATTCTGTGTCTCCCTCTCTCTCTGCCCCTCCCCTACTCATGGTCTGTCTCTGTCTCTCTCAAAAATAAATAAACGTTAAAAAAATTAAAAAAAAATAAAATAATAGGCCCAATCTTCTTAAAACAATAACTAACGTTTGATGTAGGTGTTGCTGTTCCTTCAGCAGATTTCTGTCTTCTGATTGTCTTATGGTCAGCAATAGCATTTAGGACCCCATGGTGGATGGCAAGTATCCTGTGTGTTATGGGTTCGTCATCAACTTTCTTGAGAAACAGAAGATCAATACTGAATTTTTATAAAATATGCATAGATTAAACGCTTGCTTCTGAAAGGGTTTATTGCAAAATAAAATAAGCATAACCAGATAATTAAAAAGTTATGGATTCATATCATAAGATAAATTACCAGACTATTGTAGCAACAGTATCTGGATACTCTCTGTGGCAGGACTGCTAAGCCTCTACTTCCCACACATTTTTCACTTATAAATAATCTTTAATTCCCTATATGTTTCACTAAAACCCACTGACTATTATCCTGGTGGCTTCATGGCTCTTACAGGTCATGGCATGGGCCACCCATCATGGGCCACCCATCACAGGCCATGATAGACTAGGTGCTCTACCCAGTGGCAGCAGGATCTGTAGAATCAGATACATCTCCCACTACCACCAGAAAATGTTACTAGCTGCTCGTGTCCAAATGCCATCTTTTTATCAGCCAACATTGTGCATGTTGCACTTCATAAGGTTGGGAAAGGGGAGATGAGCTGTCTTTTGGAGTTTAGCATGTGTTATGGTGAGAACTATGTCAAGTGCACCTGCCTCTTATATTCTATTAGGAGAGACTGGTTAGAAATTGAAGTACGATGAAGAGGTCTTACCAATTCTCTTGTAGTGCAGCTATTAATAATGATCCTCTTTAAAAAGGAGAAAATCCAGGATAAATGCTCAACTGGACTGGCTGCTAGAAGAGAAGGCTAAAACCAGAATGTTCTAGGTAAATCAGGATACTTCTCTTCTTAAACCTGGAATTGTCTTTGACTCCAGCACGTGCAACCAACCCCTAAGTCTTGTTTATGTTTTATCTGACATTTCTCTTGAATTTGACCCCCAGTTTTTATTCTCACTGTATCCACTTTAGCCTAGATAATTGTTACCACGCAACTGTGTTATTTATAACAACCTATTTACAGATCTACGACCCATTTTCTCCTTCTATCCATTCTCTTCAACTTACCATAGTTTTCTTTCTCCAGAAACTTGTGTGTCTCATCACACCCTTGCTGAAAAAATCTTTTAATGGCTCCTCAGTACCTGCAGAGTAAATTCCAAATTTGATTCGAAGTATAGTCCACCCCTATTCTACACTGACAGATTCATTTCTTACTCCTTCCTTCCATGAATCCTTCACTCCCACTTGGCTTGATCTCTCACCATTTCCTAAAAATGCTTGGCATTTGGCATTTGCTGTCCATGCTTGTGTTCATGCTGTTGCTTCTACTTAGTCTTCGGGACCTGGACCTCACTTGTTGAAATCTGACCTGTAAGTCCAAGTAACATCTTCAAGAATCCTTTTGTGACTCCCCATCTAGAAATACTTTTTATCCCCTGAAGTTCCACAATAGTGTAGAAAATAGTCTGAGGGTGTATTATACAAACACCTTCAATTCAAAGAGCTTTTCAGTGGCAAACTCTTGAAGGACAGAGATGATCTCTTTCATCTTTTGATACCCAACAATGCCGCACAGTACCTTTGAACATGCTGCTACTTACTAAATATTCACTGAGTGAGTTAGTAAATGAATGGCCGATGAGTCCACACTGAAGTAATAATGAATAGAGTCCTTTCTTTAGAAAATATATTTACAACTTGATGGAAACTGTTCGTCAGTTTGGTCTGCCATAACAAAATACCACAGACTGGGGGGAGGAAGGGCTTAAACAACAGACATTTATTTCTCACAGTTCTGGAGGCTGAGAAGTCCAAGACCAAGGTGCCAGCAGATTCAGTTCCTAGTGGAGACCTCCTTCCTGGGTTGCAGACAGCTCCCTTCTTGTGTCCTCACATGGTGAAGAGGGAGAGAGAGGACTCTGGTCTCTCTCTCTTTCCTTAGAAGGATACTAATCCCACCACAGGGGGACCCCTGATTCATCTAAACCGAAATTACCTCCCAAAGGCCTCACCTCCAAATACCGTTACATTGAGGGTTAAGGCTTTGGCATATGAATTTTGGGGAACACAAACATTCAGTACATAACAGGGACATTCAGTCACAAGTAATGATTAAACATAAACCTGTCAGTAGGAGAATCTTTTTGAGTGAGCTGACCTTTTGGTCTGTAAAACACTACAAATAGGTTGATTCACCTTTGCATAGTCTCAGCCCTGCTTATTAAACTTTGAGTCTTCCGTAAATACTAAACAAGATCAATTTCATTTTTTATAACTCTGATTTCCATTAACAAAGACATTATGAATAAAGATATAAGGTGCGAGTGTGTGTTTGTGTCTCTATATATCTCAAAGAAAGGATGTACATCAAACTGATAACAGTGGTTACTTACAGGGAAGATAGTGGCATTGGAGGGGTGTATTATTCTTGTACTCCTGATATGTTTCAATAATTCTGTAGTGAACATACATTGCATATTATGTGTAAAATAGAAAAATAAAAAAACAATTTAAAGAAGTCTTAGCCTCCATGGCACTATGTGTATGATCTCTCAGAAGTGTGACCTGCCTTCAAAAAGTTCACAACACAGTATTCCCTTTGAAACTCCCAAGAAATGAGGGGAATAAAAATTTGGCTCAATGCTTTTTCAATGACAAATCTTACCAGAGTAAGAAAATAATCTATGACTGAAAGTAAAAATCTATTTGGCAAGTAAATAATATAGAGAAAAAAGAGAAAAGCATGGGAAAGTAGAACTCGTGTGTTTTATATATTATAAAATCCCTTTACGCAAAAAATTTTACAATCCCAAAGTCAATGGATTCATAGGCCTAAGATCTGAAAAACACTGTGACTAAAATCATTAAAGCTATTAAAGTATTTAAATATTTAATTCTTTAAGGATCAAGTAAGTGTTAGCCATAAAACAAAATGAGAGAACATCTGGAAGGCAAAGAGGTTGAAAGATTGAAAATTAAAAAGCAAATGGTGTGCTTAGTGCTACTGTGGGACCTCGGCAAATGGATATAAACCCATTTGAAGATAAATACAGAGTTTGTGTAATTACAATGAGCCTAAAGATGGGTTTAGCATTTATACATCTCCCGGGAAGCTTAGTGAGTCAGAAACATAAAACCAAAGCAAAGGGAGGTTATTAAAATATTATTTCCTGTTGTATTGTAGAACTCGAGAAGAGAATAAACATACCGATTACTTGCATGGCCGGTTCCACGTCTGTTGTGGCCTCTTCCAACAATGACAGCAGCTTGGCTGATATCTGATGCACGGATTCAATGTTGCTAAACAAGCTATCCACGTCCAGCCGATCAATCTGAAGAAACACAAACACTGAGCACCAGCTGATGGAGAGAGACGCACTGTATTTAGGACATTTTCTCCTGCTAAACAGTAAGCATTTTCTGTGTCAGCCCATGCTGCTTCCATCAACCGTTGCTGTAAACATTCTTATTTGGGATTTCTAGAGTAAATGTGCAGTTTTTCATGCAAAAAAAAAAAAAAAAAAAAAAAAAAAAAAAAAAGGATGGTGCATCTGTTACCTTTTTCTTTATTTTGACCAAGTTTTAATGAGTTGGATGTACATGTGCGTATTCCTATAAGAACCAGAGTATGAAGAAGACGTAAGCCACCTAATCAGTATTTTTATTAACTGCCATCTATGAGGGTATTGTACCAGTGTGTATGAATTTAGAACACTTTAATGCTTATACAGCAGAAGTCAGACCTCACTCTAGGCAAGTAACTATTTTCAAAGCTGTTCTAAAACCACAGATGTTCTAAAAGCTATGACAAGTAGATGTACTGAATTGCTTCCTGCTTTTTTTCTTAAAAGAAATGTGAATGGAAATTTCACCAAACATGTTCTACTAATTAAAGTTTCATCATATTTTGTAACTTCATGCACCCCCTCAAAAACCAGTATAATCATTCCTAGATCTTAGAGCCGGTGCTTATAATATTTTATTTATTCATTCATCTCTCCTTCATTAAGTATTTCCTGAGGGTCTTCTATGTCTCAAGAATTATAATGAAACCAAACTCTGTCAGAGGCATTGGGTGATTAGTAGAGGGATGACCCATCATCCTAAGCTATCTAAGTAGAATTTGGTGAGATATGTGCCCTGATATTGCTGGATCTTACTCTAAATCTTTCTCTTGAGTTTAAGTCTGATCTCCTTTCATAATCAGATAGCATCTAATTGGCTCATGAGCAGATTGATACAGGCTTCACTGGGCTACCACTGGGAATAGGAGTACGAGTAGGAGTACGTGAGGTCATAGGTGGGCAATCAAGTCATCAATCACCAAGTAAGTCATGGAAGAGCTTCAAAGGTAGAAACCAGAGCTGCTGGTTCACAACCAGGTCAGCAAATTAGGGATGAGAGACACAAGGAGTTCACCTAAGGATCAAAACAGGAGGCCAAGAAACTTAGGGAAATTGGGACAAAGGGTATAGGGTTAGAGGCCGATGTGGAGGAATTCTGTAGATAAAAAGTCAACACTGCAGCTGTTTTCTCACGCTCTCAGCATTGGTTTCTCTAGATGTGCTAGCTCTATGGCGGAGGGAGAGGAGGAGGGAGACAATCTGCTCATCTTTTTATCTCATCCGTTTTCGACTTTGACTCATCTGTTATTCCCCATACCAGACAGAGATATTATTTTGATACAGATACTCTGTTATTAAACATGGAAGCATTGCTTCACATTCCACCTTGTTTAAAATTTGTTGACTACGTCAGTTATTTCTTATGCAATATCATCTAGCTGGCCGCATTCCTCCGAACCATCATGGGAAATTCCTCACCTTCCTATCATCAGTCTTGTCTTCAAGAAAACTCCCAGCCTTATGTGTTATCAAATTCCATGTGATTCTATGTAGTGGGTTTATTTCAATATTTTAATTATTATTTGATTTTATTTTGAAAATTTTAAATTTAACTTTTTTATGTATTTAAAAATAATCTGTATTTCCATGATTACATTGCAATCATTATTAGCTCTTAAGGTATCTCAGTATCTCACAAAATGTTCCTTTAAGTACTCTTTTTAATAAGATAGGGCACATACGGCTGTTCTGCCTGAAATCTTTGGATACTTAAGACTTTCAATTTCTATTTTACAAAGTATATTTAATATTATGCAAAATATCTAAAAGGTAGGTAGCAGTTACATGACTTTTTTTGTAAATGAGAATTTTAAATGGCTAAAAATGTCACATATTTCTGGGTACCACTGATTTAACACATTTTTATTCTAAGGAATTGCTTTATGCATTGGGTATTAATTAAATAACAATGGGGTAACTTTGCATAGTGCAAAATATGTTTTCTAAAAGTTGTGTATGAATTAAATTTTTGTAGATTGATTCACTTTATTTTTAAAAAGTTTTTTTTTAATGTGTATTTATTTTTTGAGAGAGCGCGCGCGCGAGAGAATGAGAGAGCATGAGCAGGAGAGGGGCAGAGAGAGAGAGGGACAGAGGATCCAAAGTGGGTTCTGCCCTGACAGCAGCAAGCTTCAGGAGGGCTCAAACTCACAAACTGTGAGAACATGATCTGAGCCGAAGTCAGAGGCTCAACCGACTGAGCCACCCAGGTGTCCCTAGATTGGTTCCCTTTAGATGTACCATTGAACACTTCGTAAAATCATATTTTGAAATGAATCTTTCTAACATAAAATTTCATTCCCAGTTTACTTGCTTTATATGATAAAAGATCAGATGTAATTGATAGAGTGTACCCTATTATTATTTCATTTTGTGAAATAATAATGTGAAAACTTTCTTCTGAAAAGTTTAAAGGTTTTGTATTTATTATTTCATAGATCATTGCAACTTTTCTGTAAGATATGAATTAGTTTGAAGATAGAAAAGCTCATGTGGAGTGAAAAGAGGTACCATGTTCAAAATTATGAAGTTCAGGGTGGATTTGGAACTGGAAATTCATCTTTTAATCCTTTTCTTTAGTCCAATACCAGCAAATGCTGACAGAATATCTTGCCATCTCTGGATTTTTTGATGTCTTCCTGAGGTTTTCACAAAGTTGTTACTTCTGCAATTTATTTCTCAAGGTCAGAATTCTGTCTATCTGTCTAATTTAGATTTCAAATTCATTTTTGTAAGGATTTAATTCTATATTCTATCTGTAATCTTAGCCCAATGTAGCAAATACTAAGTAACAAAAATATAGAATTTAATTTTATTTCTTTTTGAAGGACAGAAAGGATTAAAACATCAATTGGCCTGGTTTCAATCGTCTGTATCACCATGGGCCCATGGGGATTCTGTGAATCATAAATTAAATTCACATTCAGACATTGCTTTGCCAAGGAACAAACAAATGTCTGATCCAAATAGGCTTTTAAAACTGGTAGATGACTTTATAATTATTGATATAAATTCAAAGAAGCATTTATATACATTTATTAATCATTTACTAGAAATGGGCAATGCTCTAAAAGCTTAAGTTATATTTTAAATGGATTAAAAATTTATTTTTGGAAAAAAAGCTTTAGTCTTAAGTATACATTATCCTAAGCAAAGTCAATACATAATAACTCAAATGTACAAAACAGAAAAATTAAAGGTTAGTGTTTCTGGTGCCAATTTAACTCTTTGCTTTACAAACATATTCATCACAGGATATACTTCATGTGGCAAGTTCTCATTACACTTAAATAACGTTAACCTTACAGTTCCATGTATGCAAAACTCCCAGGTATAAATATCTGAGTAAAGGAAAACAGACCTATAACATTTCATCAATTGGGTGACTATAATCATTGGTGTAGAGTTACTTTGGACTGCACAAGCACTTTAAATGCACTGTGTTTAAAGCATTTCTTGCATTGCCCTGCACTCATATCCTTGTCTGAGCTCTTCGTTTCGCTCACAGATGCTTTGCCCTCATATTACCTTACAACATTCTACTTGTCTGAAATGAAGATGGCAATGATAGTGTTTGTCCAGTAGTTTTGCCCATCTCTCTCTCCTTTCTGTTGCTTTCTGGGGGGGAAGCCACAGCTCCCCAACTCTGATCGGGTGGAATTGTCAGTCATGGTACCCTGACTCCCTCCCCACTCCCTACAAGGTGGACATGTGACCTAACTGGCCACAGTGATTGGCCCAGGATGTGCAGGTTCCCAAGTAGAACCAATGAGGATCCTCCCAGATTTTTAATGAATAGAAGGGCCTGGATTGTAAGCGCTAAGTATATAAGTTTCTATCTTCGGCAGTCATCTTTGTGGAGAGTTTGATTGCCATAAATTTGATACAGAGAGGGAAGCTAAGTCTGGATCTACCTTGCCTAAGGCAAGATATCCTTATTACAGAAGCTAATAAATTGCCATTTTATTTAAGCTAGTTTGAATTTTATTTGTTACTTATAACTAAATGGGGACTAATACACTTTATTTCTAACCAAAAATCTCACTTCCTTTTAAGAAACTTTCCTATTCCCTTGATTAGCATTAACCTCTCCCTCTCCTTGCCTCCGTGACTCTGGCTTTGTATTACTCAATGCTTCTGCTGAAACCCATTATATAGTGAATATCAGGGGTATTCATTAATTTATCTGTCTTTATGTCAAAACTGTGAGCTCCTTCAGGACATTTGTCTTTGTGAGTTGTTTGAATACCCCACTGGATCTAATATACTACTGGGCCCATACCTAGTTACTCAATAAAAGTTTGATAATTTAAATTGAATTTAATCCCTACAATTGAAATGATCTATTTACTCTGTGGGAGCCATCAATAAATGTTCCTTGCAATCACTCTACTGGGCTCTGGATAACAAGTACAGTAGATAAAGATCCAAAATGGCTTGAAAAAGCAAAAGCAAAATTACCTAATTTGGTTGTTAAAAATATCACCTTAACTGGATATTTTATAAGTTTCTACTTAACTTTAGCTACAAAGACAAACCGTTGTGCTCAGTTTGTCTATTAGTAAACCTGGACAATTTGCTGACAGAGGCCAAGTTTCCTTAGTTTACACTTGGGAAACGCCTGTTTATTTAGTTTTCTGTTTAATGAGCCCTGGGACACTCTGCCTTAACCCACAGGGAAGAAGAACTAACCATGCTTAGATATCACACAGACCTCAATCACAGACACCTTTAAAAGTGAACATTGAAAAGAAGGCTAGGAACAAACTCTTAAAAAAAAAAAACAAACTATTATCGTAAAAGTAGTTCGTGTTCATTGTAGAAAATTAAAGATGGGCAGAAAAGTAAAAGAAAGGAAATACAATCACCTGTGCTTCTACCACACAGCAATAACCACTGATACTCTGAGGTCTATCCTGCCAAATTTT